ACATTCCCGCTTAGTAAATTTCTCGGTTTAGCAGTGTTACTTCTTCGGTTCAGCTTTTGAGTTGGTTTGGTTTGTAATGTGGTTTAGGCAGAGGTTCCAAGTCCAGTGGTCAACCGCAAGACAACCGCATCGGAACAAGCAAAGGTGAAGATTTGTTTGTAATCCTCTAAATGCGTTTCCAGCATGAGATGTGTGGGAGTATGCCTAGTTTAGGTTCGTAATGCTTGGTATTAATTGACATGAGCATTGTTTAATGATTGATGATTGTCTACAATGGCTAAGTTGATAATGAAGTATGTTGATATTATTGTGGATTGCGATCTCATGAATAGGTTCGATTGGTAATTTGTTTGTAGTGTGTGATCTGGATGAAACCCAGACTAGTAGAAGTGATTGTCGACCACGTTTGCGTTGCTAGGGATGTATGGCCCAATGACGGCTGACGAGCCATTTAGGGGGCCCTAGAGTAGGTTGACCCCGAGTTGCCAATTTGGCGTGTGTCTTTTGATCGTATGCGGTATTAGACTGGCTCTGGATTGCCTGATGGGTACGATGCCTGGTCTCGAAGGGGAGACGCTCTCATGTTGGTCGAGTGGGACATGAGACGGATTGAATGTTTTTTGCTAAAATTTTTCGATTGTAAATATTATCTTGCATTATATTTATGGGTTTTGCTTGTTTACTTGCATTAGTTGTTGTGTAACATTTTTTGCAGGTTTGTGAGGTCCAAGAGCCCATTCTCATAGAGTAATTTCTACCCGAATTACTCACCACTCTCTTTGTTTATCTTACAGATGAGAGAAAGTTTTTTTTAAGTGTTGAGTTAGGTCAAAATAGTCTGCGTAACATGATACCCAGGAGCCGGGGTGTTACAATAATCATGTCGTCACTACATATTCACAAATATTATTCACTGTCAAGCACATTTCGACAAAAAAAAAAAGGTAAAAAGAAAAACTATATAATGCGCTGAAATAGACAAATGAGAATAATTGTTGAAAAATATTATTTCTATGGAAACGGTACGGTACTAGGCAAAAAGGATATAGCACATAAATATTTATAAAATTATAGGTTTATATTTAATTTTGTTAATATTTGTAACTAATAAATTCATTAAAAATTTAGCATTATTATTACTAAAATCTTTCTTCGTTTTTAACTAATAAATTCATTAGAAAAGACTATTTAACCAATGAAAAAACAATTTTCAGAAAACAATTGGCTAAAAACAATAAAACGTTAATAAATTCTCTGTTGAAAGTTAAAAATATAATATAATTGTAAAAAAAAATTCATAAAACATCACTTACTATAAATGGAGGAAATGTATA